ATTTAATGTGGATGTACTGGATGTTATTTTTATTTACTATTGTTGCTGCTGATGTACTTTTATTTGACCAATATGTATTTTCATTGTGGAACTTGTTTTTATTTGTTTATTGTAATATTCAAACATTTGGTGTAATTTCAATTGATATCCGGTTTAGTTTATATTTACTTGCTATTTCATATATGTTTATTCCTGTTTATACTCATTGATCTTGGTAATAGACACATGTGGTAGGAAGTATTTTTATATTATTTTCTCTCCCATTTACATTCATGTTTTAAATTGTTGAATATGTTTAGATTTAAGTTTGGGGGGGAAGAAAAATTGTTTAAAGCTTAAACTTATTTGTCCTTGGTAAATTGAGTTTGAATAGAATGTTTAATCAACTTGAGGAATGTGGGGTTAAATTTTAAACTTTCACAATGTTGATAAATGAAAAACATAGTTTACTCATTTTAAAAAATGTTTAAATTAGGCTAGACTAGTGTTGAGCTAATTTTACAATTCAACATGTAGAAAAATGATTTAACTTATTGCTTTTAAAAAGTTTTACATATATGTTAAATTAGGTGCACTTAGATATATATTTCACATGAATTGAGCCTCATTAAAATTATATTTCATCTAGTACTTCTTAATTTTTTGAAAAATCAAAAAGAAGAAGAATATAGAGTATTTAATTTAAAGAGATGATAGTGGAATTCAAAATTATTACAATGTCTATCTAAATATAGTAGTCCTTAAAAATTTATTTAAGGATTAAAATATTCATCCTAAAGCAAAAAAAAAATATACATAGAAGCCTTATCAAAAATTGGTTTCACTAGATTTTTTTTAAATTTTCAACTCCACTTCATTCCTAAATTATTGGTGTTTAAGAAGTATTAGTAAACTTTTTAAAGGGAGTGCTTACATTCTATATATTCACCATATAATGTACCTTATTAAACACACATTAATTTTTTTTAGAAATAAATAGGAAATCAGATTTTCTTGGTTGGATGCAAAGTTTCATATACCCTAGGTTTGGACTAGTTTACTAGAGTTATCTTCTTTTTATCACTACGAATCTCCTGATGCATAATTGTTGATAGTTTCTATGAAGCCCACTTCCTCAAATTAACTAATTTTGGTATTTAAATTATAGTGTTACATAAGGATAAGTAATCTTTAAGTTTGGGGGATTTTGATGTATAAAAAAAAATGTTTGATTTCCTTTATGTTTTACACATTTTTATGGATGAAATTGCACTTGAAAGAAAGGTATTTTCGTGTTTTTCTTGCAGGTAAAATAGGCGTTGGAAGTGGAGCAACGTGGAGGAGAGTTGGAGCAAAGGAGCATGCAGGAGGCTGGTGCCTAAGCTCCAGACCCTTGGGCGTCTAGGCGCTAGCTAGTCTCACTCATGGCAACCTGAAAGGTCAGCGCCTAGGTGCCGCGATACTGGCTCCTAGGCGCCACACCCTTGGGCGCTAAGATGCCCATGCATTCCTCAGCAAACCGAGAGACTGGCGCCTAGACGCCAGTAAATGCATGGAGCAGTTTTAGCAGTTCAAGCAGCCTGACGTGGAGAATCGTGGGAAGTTGTGTAGGAGGTCATGGGGGGCTTTTATGTTGTTGTACATGAGTTTATAAAAGAGAGATATTAGTGTTGTTGATGGATTGATGCTGGTAGGTCTAGGATTGGAGTGAGTATTTTGGGGAGAATTGAAGTGTAAAGTAAGAAGAAGGTTGTGCATGATGTAGATTTTTGTTCCTTCTACTTCTTCTTTAGTTAAAAATATGGAAAGACTTCAGGAGCAACAACCAAGGAAGCATTTGGTGGAGCATCTTCAGTTGTAAAGGAGAGGAAGATAAGTAATTTTATATTTCGTTTGTTGTATTTCCTTAAACACATCATTTAGTGGAGTTCTCTTGTTTTCAAATGAAGCTTTGTGGCATGTTCTTCATGTTTTATGAGTAGTACTCTTTACCTTACCTTGTGATGATTAAGTAGAATGTGTAGGAGTGCAAAATGTTTTCAAAATTATTTTCTTACATTACTTAATGTGATGATTAACCATCAGATCTTTGTTTACTTTTCATTCTGGCCAAGTGAAAGGTTAAATGTGTTGTGAGCCTTCATGAATTGGGAGAGCTATGGTAGAATCAACTAAGTTAATAACGTTGAACTGTGAAGTATAGGTGGATATGCTTTGTAGGGTGATGTAAATGTTAGGAAAATATTCTTCAATGGGTTCAAAATGGGATTTAAGGAATTAAACTCATTTGATCCATTCTTCTTTATGCACTCAGGACAGAGTAAAAAAGAGAGTTGCTCCTGCTTGTCACTAACCAAATTTATAATTAACACTTTACATTTCCTATACTCCGCTTAAATCATTACAAGGGAAGGTAACTTTAGAACATGATATTCATCAATCCAAAAACTAGGTTAAGTAAGATTTTTGTGGGATTTAAACTTTTAAATTGTTTGCAATACAGTAGGTTTAGTTTGTAGAATTTTAACTTAATCCAAATTCCAGGCTAGGAACACAACTTGTAGGCTAGAACTTTTCCTAGGTCTAATTCCCCTGTTCCCTGTGGAATCGACATTCCAGACTCAAAAATCTGATATTACTGATACCCGAAGTACAACTACGTGAGCCTTTAGAGTGTGAGTGCACCATGAAGCGGGTATCAACGACGACACTACCACTCAGATGAATTTGACTTGTTTTATTTGAGTCATGCAGTCGATGTACTACCTTATATAATGCACAAAAACATGAAACTTGTTGAGTAATCAGGTCCAATTTTGTTGGATTGAAAATATCATGTCAGTTAATGTTTATAGATTTGGTGGATTAGATGGTTTATCCAAGACCATTGGTACACTCGCCGTGAGGGTGGTGGTCTTCACTTCAACTATGTTTGTAGTCAAGTTTGGCTTGTGCCAAATAAAATGTCCGTTGGGCCTTTATAATCTAAGGGATTTTTTTGGATTTAGATTTTGAATTATTGGTACGCCAGCATATAGGATTGCAGATTCTTATCTTACATCACCTATGCCATTTTCGACATAATCTGGTGTAAGTCCTTTTTTTTTTTTTTTTGCTTTTTACGTTTTTGTAAACCACCTATGTGAGACTTATATGATAATATTCAAGTCGTACCACTAGCTAGGTCTAGGTTGCATTAGGCATATAAGGTGTCGGCACAACTCATTTGCTATCCAAGAAGTAAGAGGGGCAGGCACTGCTTGTCGGAGCCTGGGCGTTGCACCTCTTCTTTTTTATTCTTACGTTTTAGACAATCAAACTACATGAATTTATCTCCTTATATTTTAATAAGGCATCCATGTTTGGGATGTCTTAAATAATAGCATTCATTTGCATATCCTGAGAGAAACCTAGACATGTGGAGATGACCTGGTCAAAATTCCAACCTATGACATGACCTACCCCATTCGTGCACTTTCTTTTGCTTTGTCAAGCCTTTGTGGGCTCGTGTCATAGGCTATCTCGCAAGGTTACGGTGATTCACCCTTTGCCTGCTAGTCTAATTTCACCGTTACAGGTAGAAGTTCCCTCTACAGGAACTATCAAAATCTTTTTTGTTGCCTACTTACATAACAACTTCTTGCAAACACATCTCTTATCATTAGTTATTTTGGATATCCCAAGATTATAATTAACCAGAATGATACGTTGTTGTGGGAGATCTTTTTCAAACCATCAAAAAATAAATTTAATTCATATAGGAATTATGAATAATTTTCTTGGAAAAAACAGGGTTTAGTTTTTTTTGGATCACTTTTCTCTTATTTATGTTATGATGATTGTTGTGTATGAATGTCTTCGTATTTGTGCTTTTTTTAAGCCTTCATAATGTTCGTCTGACTTCATCTTTCCTTCCTCCCACTCCATTTAGATGGAGGCTATTTCGAGAAAGAGAATTCGAAGAGGGGCATACATTAAGGGCATTAGATGTTAATATGCACATAAACAAAAAGAGGCACAAACACTTCTCCTTAGTGATAAAAATGGCATTGTAAAACAAGTAAGCGATAGTTGAGTTCCATTACTAACAAACTTCTATAATAAACTATGAAGACAAGATCATCACAGAAGGTACACCAAGCTTCATCCATAAAGCTCAGTGAAGGGACTATATTTAGAAGTTCCTAAACATAAAGCTATTCAAACATTTCGCATGTCCTACGCAAACATTGTCGCCTAAAATAAGGCAATAATCAAGCATACAAATAATAGGTTTAATGGGATTCATATTTGTCCAATCAAAATAATACCAAATTGAGGGAAATAACTGTAGAGTTAAAGCTTTAGTAACTCTAAAACAAAAAGACTTCGCATCTCAAAAGGGATAGAACCCCCTATTTCATTTAACTGAAATCTCTTAGTTTGGTCCTGCAAGAATTAATAGAGCTCCGCACGCCAACTAGCATTAAAGAAGCAATTAGCTAAGGATTTAGCAATGACATAATAGGGGTTCCCTTGGGAATACAATCCTGGCCATAGAAAATAAAATGTCGTAGAGGCATTCAAGGAAGCAATAGATGCTCGTTGAAGCATTGTTGTAAAAATGCAAATAATGTCAAATAGTAAAGTTAGATGCCGACTATCTCTCTGTACACATAAAAAGAATTTGCGAGCATACCACAGAATCATTATATATTTGCAAATCGAACAATAAACTAATTTTCACAAATATCAGCTTACTTATCCATGAAAAAGTGTATTTCAAAAAATAATAACTTTTGGTGTTAAACTATGTAAATAGATAAAAGCACGTACGTACGTACGTACGTGCATGCATACATACATACATTTGCTGGACTTAATGATTTCTTATGTGTGTGTGTGTGTGTGTGTGTGTGTGTTTTACCACCAAATAAATTTGCATAATTGGTACAAGTGAGTTTATATCCCTCCAAAAAAAGATAAGAAATCAATAAGTCCAGCAAATGTAAGACAATTTTAACTACCAAGGCATTTGATACTAAAAATATTTATAAAAAACATCCCATACATCTGTACTGACGACAAACTGATAGACAAACCCCACAGAAACAGCAAGAGAACCTCACTCGAAGGCCATGAAATCATCCAACCAAGAGAAATAAACAGATTTCAAATTAAGTCAAGAGCATTCCACTTAAATTTATTGCAATAAATTGCAAAACTATCAGATCTATAATCCAGCACTGAGCTTATGGTTTAAAAAAGGAAAATGGCGAAAGACGGTGAGAATTACAGACCAAGGCCGACGGTGCGGCCATCTCTGCGCCGCAGGCCGGCAGTGTACTGCTTCTCCAAATCCATCTGCAGCTCCTTCTGCTTCTCTGCATCCTTCTCGTCGGGCTTGCGCTCCTGAGGAGCTGCCTCTCCCTTCACACCCTACAATTGGCCATACAGGCAACCTCAGACTTTAAAACATGTGTTAGTAAATGGTCGATTTCAGAGAAACAAAGCGGTAGGAAATGCAACGAATGAATGTTGAATTCATCTTTTTTTTAAAAAAGGAAGATTTACAAAATTAACACCCACTTCTTATGTATTTACATGTCTTACACATATACTTCAATTTACATAGTATCTCACCTATGCATGAAAAGATGTATTTCGCTTTATAGAAGTGAAAATGGTGGTATTTTTTTGTGTGATGAAAATTTGGATGGTATGAATCTAAAAAGAAAATTTTAGATGTTAGACATGTAAATACATAGGAATTGTGTGGAATGTATATAAATGCCCCAATTTTCGAAAGCTTGATGCAAAGTAAAGAGAAAGAAGGTGTTAAAAATTACCATGAGTTTGTTGAACTTTTCCTGGCGTTCTCGATCTGTAAAGAGTTGTAAATCCCATCGAGAGCCGGACTAAGAACATTAATGAAAATAAAATGTAGAGAAAGTAGAGTGCAGTGAAGCACATCAGAATTTCTTTTATTCATAAAATAATGCAAACAAGTAGAAGTATTGCATACATAGGGGCCTACCTCTTCGGAACTGTTCTTGCTGCCCCAAAGAAGTTTTTTCTTCTGGTCGGTTGACAAGCCTCCAGTCCCAACAAGGTTCCTGTTTACTGTTACAGTCATGCAAATAGATTTTAGCTTCCAATTAGATTGGAAACAAAATGGAATATTCAAAACAAAAGAGTAAAGTGCCAAAATTGTCCCCTGACTATTTACATGAGGCCATTTTAGTCATAGAGCTTATAAAAATATCAAATTAATCCCCAAACTCTTTTAACTGTGGCTAAAATAGTCCTTTAGAACAAATTCAGCCCATATTTTAAAAATATGGAAACTAAATTGACACTTTTGTATACTCGGGGACTAAAATGATCCCCTGTAAAAGACAGACCATTTAGACAACTTCTCATAGAAAATCTACGAATGGAATAGCCAGAAACACACAAGAATCGAACATTTAATGAACAAATATTTATAAGAGAGGTGAATGTGGTTGAATAAGCTACTTGTTGCTGAAACAATAAAAAGCTAGAAGCATGCAAACTTGGAAGGGAAAGTTAAAATGGTCCTGTAGGCATAGATGATATTTCACGTGACAAACTTTTAAAATTCCTTTACTTCGGTTACCCTGTATAAAATTTAACATAACGATTATTTCATCAGCAAAGCCATTAGTTGAAATAAAATGATGATTAAATTGATAATATTAAACTAAAATTTCAGATTAATTCTTATTTCATGAGATTCAATAGAGTTATTTGATTCAATTTTGAAATATATCATGATATACTTCAGTGTCATTTCTTTAAATTATTTACACTGTTTAAGTTCAATATAATTACTAAATTTACCCTTCAGACTGATTTCCCAATTGCTTGAGATAGAGCGCACCAGAGCCAACCAAACATGACCATAGCACAATCAGCGAAAATTACAAAAGGCATGAAACGTTATATCATTTCCAGCGAAAACCAAGACAAAGTCTAACATGTTCATTACATTAGATCCCCCTTGGTCTCTTCATTCAATTGGAATCTCTCACACTCAATATCCTAAGTCATATAAATATCATTTCCATTCTTTTTAATTGTATACTTTCAATCAAATATTGCATACATTGTCTTTTGTTTATTTCATGATTGTTTTCGTTCACCACCAAAGTTCAAGAAAGTACTGACTAAATAATTTAATTTAATCTTATATGTGCCGACATTTGAAGGACATCGAAAAGCTTTACATCGTAATATCTGAGTTGAGATACCTTTTGCTGAAACAAGTAAATTTGGCTTGTCCTTGAATGAAAGTGTGTTTGTAACAATTTCTCCACATTGCTTGAGGAGCGAAGAGGTTCTAAATTGAAATATTAGATTGGGTGGAAATTAGGCAAGCATGTGGGGTAATTTGAAGCCGATCAATATACAGATTATTTGTATTTGATCTTTAGTATAGATTTACACTGATGTATTTTTACTTGCTAATCTTCCATGTTTATTTGATAATCCTAAAACAGTACTTAAACTTGTATTACTTACTCCTAACATTGAATTTATACCATACATTGAATTTATACCACACCATTATAGTCATGAGCTTGGACATTTGGATGTTCTTGTGTGACACAGGAGCACCACGCACAAGGATGCCTTCCGCAATCCCACGTGCAGAGACAAGATGTAGAAACCTCCTACGACAATGCGGGCTTTAGTTTTCGCGCCTGGACCAAACCAGACCAGGTTTTGTCATTGTTGCGGAGTCGACTGGTCCTGTTACGCCACTCCTTGCTATCATATTATTATATATTTGTGTTTTTGATGTTCTAGGGTTAATTTTTTCATGTTTTGTTTGGGACAACAGTCAGCATCTCAGATTTCCCTTTGAGGGTTGTATTTGAGGGACAAGTGGTGCTTTGTCTGTATCTCGTGCCCCAAGTGGTGATTATCCTACGCTATCCTTCCCCGGCATCCTTCCCTTCATCATCGTCACTGCATTCCTTGGTTCAGCCACCACAATCAAACCAGATCAGGCTTTGTCGTTGTTGTGAAGTCGACTGATCCTGTTACACCACTCTTCGCTATCAATTATAATATATTTGTTTTTTGATGGTCTAGGGCTAATTTTTTTGTGTTTTGTTTGGGACAGCAATCAACAACTTAGATTTCCCTTTGAGGGTTGTATTTGAGAGACAAGTGGTGCTCTGGTTGTATCTCGTGCCTCAGATGGTAATTATCCTATGTTATCCTTCCCTGACATCCTTTCCTCTGTCATCGTCGCTGCATTCCCTGTTGTTCTTCCTGTTGATTGCTCGCCTCCCAGCAGCCAACCATCTGCCATCCTGGTTGCCACCCTACTTTACCATACTAACACCTTCCTCCACCTTCTCCCAGACTTCGACCTCACTGACGCAACATCGTAATCCTCTCGCTTTGTTGTCTGCTACTTTTCCAGCCACCTGAACCGCATCCCTGCAGCTTAGTTGTTGTTCAAATACTTCCCCTGTGTTGCCACTACTGTTCCAGTTGCACAAAACCATTCCTCGTGCCGCCAGAACCACCTCACTGCAGCTTAGTTGTTGTTCCCGCCACCTAGAACCGCCCCTAGATGATAGTTCTTCATTGTTCGATCCACCTACCTTCAATGTTATCGCTCTCCAAGCCCCACAACGGTCACCACCACCCAAGATCCACCCTAGCTCGAGTGTTTGTATCGTTTTTGTTGCTATTTCAAATTTTTGGATGACGTGTTACTGAATTTTCCCTTTCAAATGTGTTGATTGTAACTGACTATTTGTTTCCAGTAAAAATATTCGTTTTTTATATTCTGATTGGATTGACTTCAATATCATTCATTATCTGATCTTATAGCCTAAATCCTAGTCCTATTCTAAGGTTTCTAGCACCCCCCAGATACCCATCCCAACTAAATTCCTTGTCCTTGTTGATTTTTCAGACTCAAAATTTTTCTTCCATACCCTAAATCGTCCATATACACCCTATTTCATCTACCTACACCCAAATCCTAACCACGCCAACAAATAGACAACTACCGAAGACCCAAAAGGGAGGAAAAAACACAATACCATTTATAAAAAATCCACCAAGAAATGTCCAAGAACCAACCTTTTATGGAGGACGAGTGATAGGAAATCATCCAACTACAATAGAGATTTTCCTCCTTCAAGAAGAGGCAATCCAGCAGAATCACCCGTAGCTACAACGGTGATTTGCTAGATCGAAGAAATGGAGTGAATCTCTTCCACTATACAAATGTCAGGGATAAAGAACCTCTACCGCGAAGATTTGACCTGAAATATTTGAAACGCCAAAATTTTGAAGTAAAGGTGGATTTGTCATATTTTGACAACCGCATAGATTCGAACAAATTCTAGTTGCTCCAGATCATGGAGCTTTTCTTTGAGTACCAGAACAACCCATCGAGCAAACTAGTAAAAACTAGTCGCGAATCAGTTAAAGAAAAGTGTGTTATTTTGGTTTTAAATTTTGAATCACATGAAAACATGAAGAAAAACATAAAATCACTACCTGGTCCAACATTAAATGAGAGATGCAACACCAGTATCAACCAACTCATTCCAAATACAATATGCAGACCCTAGCTTTAAAGTGGAGAGAACATTCACGAATGGTCATGCTATCTCACAGGTAGATTCTAACCCCATGATCGAGCAACAAGAGTACGCCTAATGGAGCATCTAAACCAACTCTGCCTGACGAGACACTAGCTTAGAGTGGAGAACAGATGTAACCAATCCGCATTTCCAAATCCATCCAAATCAGGAAGTGTTTCAAATGCCATGAATTTGGGCATATTGAATTAGATTGCACAACTAAGAGAATGATCACTTTCATTGATCAAGGAGTAGCAATTAAAAAAATAGTCAGTTACATCGAAAATAATGAAACGTCGGATATGAGCCTCAACTTCAAGACGAAGACAATAAGATGATTCAAGATGATCCTACCATAGAGACTCCAGTTGGAGTAATCAAGGTTGATCTAGAAGAAAGTAAGTTTTAGGTAATGAGCCTTCATGCAAATTATCAAATTATGATGCCTTGAGCTACCTCTTTGTAGGCATTGAGAGGAGCATCAACAAGACTGACATTGGAAGTCCAAAAGAGCGATAAGTTTGAGGAATTGATACTAGATACAGCGCAACATCAAATAAGATGATTTCAGAATTCACATATACATAACCCACCTCCTAGGTTGCCACTACTGAGGGAGGTCCAACACATCAGACAATAGGAGCTTTTGAGCTACTTCCTAAAGACCTTGTGCTGGAAAGCACCTTACAAGCTTTGCAAGAAAGAGCAATCTTCAAAGGGATCCAGGTTCTACCAGGGAAGAAAAATACGTCCCTCGTAAATGATTGCTCGAGAGAGTGGCCTAGTTTGTCACATAATTTGTCCTAGCGTTGATTCCTCAAATATTTAATTATCAGATACGTCCAACAGAGCAACAGAAGTGGGAGAGTAGTTTACAGATGTAGTGCCTCGAGACTTGATTCATGAGAATACTCGTTTATCAACAATGTCAGCCCAAATTGTGTCAAAAGAGAATGCGTATTTATTCTACCATAAAGTACTTTAGAATGAAAGAACCTAAAAGATTTAACCGGGAGAATACAACATTTCCGTTATCAACTGGGCTGACCAAGCACCATACTAAGAGAAGAGAGAAGCTTCAACGAATGAGGTAGAAACTCCCCCAATCCTGGGAGACTGATAAGAGAGCGTCGAACATCGAAGCTACCCCAATCCTGAGAAGCTGGCACTGGAGAGTCGCATACAGGGACACCTTTCGCGATCCCGCATACAAAGAAATGACACAGAAACCTCCTGCAACCATGCAGACTTTAGTTTTCATGCTTGGACCTAGCCGTCCAAGTTTTGCCATTGTTGTGGAGTCGGTTGGTCCTCTCGGGCCACTCTTCGCTATTCTATTATTATATATTTGTGTTTCTAATGTTCTAAGTTTTCGCGTGTTTTATTCGGACAATCGTTGGCATCACATTATTCATTGCAGGGCAGCATCTAACAAACAAATGGTGCTCTAGCTTGTATTTCACGGCCAAGGTTGTGACTATCCTC